AGGTTCAAAGCCAGCCTGGGCAGGTATGTCCATGAGATTTTTATCTTCAATTAAGAATCAAAAAAGCTGAAAATTGAGCTGTGGCTCAAGTGGTAGAATGCTAGCCTTCAGCACAAAAGCTCAGTGATAGCACCCAGGCTCTGAGTTCAAGCCCCAAGACCAGAAAAAAAAACCCAAAACAACAAAAACAAAAATCCCACAGGTCACATATTTGGTTAGGAATATACCTAGGCCTAGAACTTGCACACTACAGTACTTTCAGCAGCTGCTCTTGCTTGTATTCTAAATACTTTGGTATATGATAAAAATGCAGTTTTTTGACAAGTACTGATGACCCATGCCTATAATCCTAGCAACTCAGACAGATAAATTCTTGAGACTCATAGCACCAATTAACCAGAAAAAGCTGCAACTAGAAGTATGGCTCAAGTGGTAAAATGCCAACCATGAGCAAAAGTGCTGAGCTGAAACACAATTTCAAGCCTTAATGCCAGAAGAAAAAAAAGTGCAACTAATACATTAAAAAAGTTTGAAAATATATGAAGAAATAAAGAATTTCAAATTATTGTTTGTACATACAGTTCTATACATATATAGCTATATAGCAATCTATAATCACGTGTCATTCATCTGCTCTTGGGCTCTTCCAGTGCATTAAGAGCTTTCAGTCCAGTTTGAATTATATTATTCCATGTGGCTTTTTCTATATAAATGCATCTGTAGTAAGTTTCTCTATCAGAAGGTCTTTTTTTTTTAATTTAATTTTATTTTATTTGAGAACATACTGTACAGAGGGGTTACAATTACATGGGCAGGATAATGCATACATTTCTTACCAAGCATTGCAGCCTCCTCCTTTGTTTACCCTTCACATCCCTTCCCAGCCTCCCCCCTCCCCCCCACCCAACCATACCCTCCCTCCCCCACCCCCACACCGACATTGTAAAGCTGGTTTTGACATGACATTTTGTACTTCTCATTGTAGCAACAGGTCCACCTGAATCCTTAAACGACTTGTTTGTCCCCATCTCCTCCACATGTTATAATGACATCAAATATAGTGAAAGCGGGGGTTACACTGTGGGGGAGGGACATACAAAACAACAAAGAAATAATCTTATAAATGCGTTAGAAACACATGCATGAAAGAAACAAAAACATTAAAATACATATTTAAGGGTTCGTTTTCTTAACATCACATTATCTGACCTTTTCCGCTTGACTCATACCTATACTAGATATTGCAAATAAGGGAACCCATGGGACCTATGTTTCTTTGGGCCTGGCTTACTTCACTTAATATAATTTTTTCCAAGCCTTTCCATTTCCTAACAAATGGGGAAATGTCATTCTGTCTGATGGAGGCGTAGAATTCCATTGTGTATATATACCACATTTTCTTGATCCATTCATCTTCTGAGGGGCATCTGGGTTGGTTCCAGATCTTAGCTATGGTAAATAATGCTGCAATAAACATAGTTGTGCTGGTAGCTTTAGTGTGGTCTTGTTTGTAAACATTTGGGTAAATGCCCAAAAGTGGGATTGCTGGGTCATAGGGGAGTTCTATGTGAAGTCTTTTGAGGAACCTCCATACTGCTTTCCAAAGTGGCTGAACAAGTTTACATTCCCACCAACAATGAAGTAAGGTTCCTTTGTGTCCACATCCCCTCCAGCATCTGCTGTTGTTAGAGTTCTTGATTTTTGCCATTCTAACTGGAGTGAGGTGATATCTCAATGTTGTTTTGATTTGCATTTCTTTTATGGCTAGGGATGTTGAACATTTCTTCATGTGTCTATTGGCCATCCTTCTTTCTTCTTCAGAGAAGTTTCTCTTTAAGTCTTTCGCCCACTTATTTATTGGGCAGTTGTTTCTTTGAGGATTTGTTGTTGGGGGATTTAGTTTTTTGAGTTCCAAGTATATTTTAGATATGAGACCCTTGTCCTTTGTATGGCTAGTAAAGATCTTCTCCCAGTCCGTGGGCTTTCTATTGATCTTGCTAGCTATGTCATTTGCCCTGCAGAAGCTCTGCAACTTTATGCAATCCCATTTGTCCAACCTTTCTTTGATTTGTTGTGTTTCCGGGTCTCTATTCAGAAAATTTCGGCCTGAGCCAAGGAGACCTAGGGTTTCTCCTATTCCATCCTGTAAAGTTTTCAGAGTGTCTGCTTTGAGTTCAAGGTCTTTGATCCATTTGGAGTTGATTCTGGTGCAGGGTGATATATAAGGATCTAGCTTTAGTTTTCTACATGTAGTTAACCAATTTTGCCAGCACCATTTACTGAAGAGGCTGTCTGTCTTCCATTCTATTGTTTTAGCTCCCTTATCGAAGATTAGATGGCTATAGGTCTGTAGGTTCATTTCTGGGTTTTCAATTCTATTCCATTGGTCCTGAGGTCTGTTCTTAAGCCAATACCAAGCTGTTTTGATTACTATGGCTTTGTAGTAGAGTTTGAAATTTGGTATTGCTATTCCTCCAGCAGTGTTCTTTCCGTTGAGGAGCGTTTTTGCTATTCGGGGTCTTTTATTGTTCCATATGAATTTTTGGATTGCCTCTTCTATTTCCTTGAAGAATGAGGGTGGAATTTTGATAGGTATTGCGTTGAATTTGTAGATAGCCTTGGGAAGTATTGCCATTTTCACGATGTTAATCTTTCCAATCCAGGAGCATGGGAGGTTTTGCCATTTTTTAAGTTCTGTGTTGATTTCCTTTTTCAAGATTTTAAAGTTTTCATCATAGAGGTCCTTCACTTCTTTAGTTAAGTTAATTCCTAGGTATTTTATTTTTTGTGGGGCTATTACAAATGGAGTTGCTTTCCTAATTTCAGCCACACTTTTCTCATTGTTGGCATACAGAAAAGCCATTGATTTTTGGGGGTTAATTTTATAACCTCTACTTTGCCAAAGTTTTGAATCAGCTTGAGTAATTTGGGAGTGGAGTCTATGGGATTCTTTAAATACAAGATCATGTCATCTGCAAAGAGGGAGAGTTTTATTTCTTCTTTCCCTATTTGGATCCCCTTTATGTCTGCATCTTGTCTTATTGCTGTAGCTAGGCATTCTAATACTAGATTGAAGAGAAGTGAAGAGAGTGGGCATCCTTGTCTTGTTCCTGAGTTAAGAGGAAATGGCTTTAGTTTTTCACCGTTGAGTATAATGCTGGCTGTAGGTTTGTCATATACAGCCTTTATTGTATTCAGGAATGTTCCATGGATTCCTAATTTTTCCAAAACCTTCATCTGTAGTAAGTTTCTCTACCAGAAGGTCTTAAGTGCACTTTTGTGGCAGTTTTATTAGATACATGTATTGGTTATACTTTAGAATACACTGAAAGCTCTTGAAAAACATGGGTAATGGAGATGAGGAAAACAAATAAGGAGTTAAATCTGATTAAAACACTATCCATGAGGCAATCACCAATGGCTCAACTCTGTAATCCTAGCTACTCAACAGGTGAGATCAAGCTTCCAATCTCTCCAGGGTAGTAAAGTCCATGAGATTCTTATCTCCAGTTGAAAAAAGACACAAGCCAAAAGTGGAGCTGTGGCTGAAGTGGTAGAGCACTAGCATGAGCTAAAGAAGCTTGGGGACAGCACCCAGCCCCTGAATTCAAGCCCCAGAACAGGCAAAGACACACACACACACACACACACACACACACACACACTACTGTACATACATGTGTAAAACACCAAGATAAAACCTTTTTGATTAAGCATCATTCACTAAAAATAATGAATGTGAAAACAGGTCCTGTCTAGGATTAGGTTACTCTAAAAAAAAGAGATCAGCACAGTCCATCTATTAGTTCTGAGATCCCAATACCAAACTGTAAATATAAAAGACTGCGCCAATTAGGGGAGCATGATTGGTCCCTGATGCTCTAGAAGAGAAGGGAATGAAGAAGAGCTCAAGTAACTGCATTTTAAGATTAACCCCACCAACCTGTAGCTGTGCTGCCCTCAGAATAACCTCAAAAGAGGAACACTTCTCAAAAAACCACAGGTTGCCACCAACCCTGCGCACCCTTAAGGAACAGAACAGTTGCCCAAGTGTTCCATCAGAAAAAGGGGAAGTGTAGTCAGGGCAGACCCCTGAACTGGTGAACTTGCTTACTTGTGTGGAACCCCCCTGAACTTGTGAACTTGTTTAATACTATAAAAGCTGTGCTAATTTTGATCTCCGGGCCTCTTAGCGTCACCGAGTGCGTGGAGGACCAAGCTGGAGCTTGCAATCAACGACTCTTTGCTGTTTGCATTGATCATGGCCTCTGGTGGTCTGTGAGGGGATGTCTGAAAACTGAGCACTTCAGTTACTAATGGAAGGACAACCAATGAGGATGTCAAAATTGGTCAACATACTTTACATATATGCTTGAGATTGGGACAATGAAGCCTTTGGAAATTTGTCTGGGAAGGGTGAGGAGTTGGGATGAGGAAGGGTGATGGAGAGGTGAATTTGTTCAAGGCTCATTGTATGAATATATGAACATGTCAACATGAGGTTTCCCTGTACAATTAATTCATGCTAATGAAAATGTAAAAGGAAAAAATCCACACTTCAATTTCAGTATTTTAATTAGTGATTGTCTGGTACATTGAAAAATCTCTTCAAATCTTAAAAATGAAATATTGATTTAAAAAAAGAATGACTGCTTAAGCAACATAATCATACTGATCATTTCAATAGGGATAGACAAATTCTTTTTTAAAAAATGCAAATCTGGGGAAAACAGCAGAAACCATAACAGTACATGATTGTGTTCATTACTTTGTGAAATCTCTATTTTCTGCAGTCAACATTGCTCATATTTAGCCCATTCATTTTTTGGGGGGTTGGTCTGGTCGTGGGGCCTGAACTCTGGGCCTGGGTGCTGTCCCTCAGCTCTTCAGCTCAAGGCTAGCGCTCTACCACTTGATCCACAGCCAGTTTTTTTTATTTTTACTTATGTGGTGGTGAGGAATCGTACGCAGGGCCTATGCATGCAAGACAAGCACTCCACCACTAAACCATCTTCCCAGCCCCCCATCCATTTTTTAAAGTTTTAAGTAGCTATTTCAATAAATATTTCCATTAACAGCAGCACTAGCTTCCTTGCAGTCTTGGTCTTCATTAAAGTTTCCCAAACAGTCAACGATTCTGAATCTAGAAGACATGTAAAATTGGTACATATGAACTCCCCAATAAAGACTGATCAATCCTGTCTCATTTCTTTCCTGATGACTAGTTGCAAAATCATCAATTATACAAAGAAAATAAACATGTTATTTTGTTGTTTCATTGTTCACAACATCCTTTGGCACTATCTGACCTATCAATTTCATGGCATCTTTGTCATGAATTTAAGTAATAAATTCATAGAATTATACCAGAAAAGCATACTAATTCCATACTTATAATGATAAAATACACATCTACTTTTTAGAAAATGAGAGTCAATTTTCTGGTGTAATGCTCCAAATTGAATTACCACTGACAGACCAGGAGACTCCGGAGTACGTGGTCATTGTGTGTAGTAGGAAAGCTCCTTGCTGACTCACAGTGCTGAACTACAGCCATGAAGCTACCAAGCAGCTCCAATTGCAAAAATGCCCTAACGTATTCCAATGTTTTTAATACATAATGCTAAGATTTTCAAAAATACATGTGTATAATGTATTTATGTATAGTGTACTTTATTTATATCTATAACATGAGGTTTCTTTCCTTTCAAAGTAATCATAGTATAAATATGTGCTTAGCTTGGCTTAGTTTCAGTTCACCTATTGAATAGAGGAATGACACAGAAATCTTTATTCATATAATTAATACATACTTCTTTTCAGTTTTCTGGGAACCTGAGCATTGAAAGATAAAGCAAAGGATTTAATCCTCAATTAATATTCTTGGCTCAAAGGAACAGAGAATAGTCAAGTTGATAGAACTGTCCTTTAATTATGTCAGATTTTTAAGCATTCCTTTCTTTCTAAAAAGCTTAAGAGCAAAGTAGGATGTTTTCTTAGGTTCTCATGAGCAAAAGTAAGAAATATACATATATATATATACATATATAAATATATATGTATATATATGTGTGTGTGTGTATGTGTGTGGGTGTGGGTGTGGGAAAAAAAACTGTGTTCCAAGATTTGAGATGAAAAGACAGACCATGAATGGGAAAGCCAAGAATGTATAAATGCCCTACCATATACAAAGACTAATTACTGCTAAAGAACTTGAAATGATACTCATAGGTGATGAAAAAATATATATTTGGAATCTGTTTTGATGTCTATACCTCTGATTTAATTACAGTACTTCAAATCTTGAATTTTAAAGTATTTTTCAATTCTTACCTGTTGATTCATCCAGTTTCCTGAGACCATTCAGTGAGAGCACGACTACATTTTGGAGAGGAGTAAAGCCCTTGATGAATGGGGCTATGTCAGTCTTAAGAAGAACTCGTGGTGGCAGGCCCTTCTCGAAGTTATGTGTTCTGATCAAGGTAGGGGGATACAAGGATGCCACTAAATAATTCACAACAACACACCAACTTTTCTCAAAATCTGCTTCTGGTTTGGAATAGTAAAGAATTCTGCAAGACAAATGGAAAACATACTCACTTCATTTCAAACTCATTTCATTCAAGATTGTCTTCTGTTAAGAAAACAATATGCAAATAAAATAAAATAAAATAAAAACAAATACTGATATTCAAAAGCAATAAAAAAAAAAGAAAACAAAATCCATACTTCATTGAGAAATAGGTCTGAAAGTAGAATGACATTAGTCTATGATACCTTCAAAAGTTTTGGAGATGGCTAATAGGTTTTTAAACCTGAAAAGGATCATACCACATTGTTAACGTTTTATATACCTCTCTAAGACACATTATACTAGAAAAACTTTTGATGGTTGATTTGTAAGAATGGTAAGAGTGTAAATAACTCTCCTTGGTAATATAGAAATAAGTACCATTGCTGTGTGTCCCCAGGATACTAAGCACCCCAAAGGAAGATGTCAACTTTTCTTGTTTCCTTTGTTTTCTAGGACTTGAACTCAAGGCCCAAGTTTTTGTTCTCAAAGCTAGCAGTCTACCATTTGAGCCACAGATCCACTTCTGACTCTTTAGTCATAAATTTAGACCTAAGAATCTCAAAGACTTTCTTGCAGGATTCAAACCAAGATCTTCAGATCTCATCCTTCTCAGTAGCTAACAGATGTGAGCCACTGGCACCTAGCTTTCCTTGGCTTTGGGGGGAAGGGATTAGAAGCTTTTAAAGTGGAGGAAATCTCTCTCAAAATTCCTCATATTTATAAGTCTAATAATTATAGTTGGAAGTAATAACAGGTGTACGACTCTGTCTTCAACAACTATTCAGCATGCTAAATGATTTAAAGATATGCAAAATTCTTGTTCCCCATAAGACATGTACGCACCTTCCTTGGCTCACTAAGAGCATCCTCCTCCAAGCCTTACCAATCCCAGCACCTTAGTCATCTCATCAGAAAGCAGCAACTCCTTCTCTGTTTCCCATGGCACCATCTGCATACTTGAAAGTTTCTTATATCACTAGATTATATTCTCATTCACAGAAGCTAGGTCTTTTTGACTACCATCAAACAGAAAATGCTTGTATTATGCTTGTCAATGCCAAGTAAACTATGGAATGACAAGGAACACTAGCTGGCAGGGTCTCCCAGCTTCCTTCCTTGCCTGGAGGTGGTAGAACAGCAGATTTAGATCCTTGGTGACAAGAGTTTACTTGGGAATCACTGATCTTTTTTAGACCACATTTGTCTTTCAAATGAAAATAAGAACATCTGACTGTAACTAAGGTTCTTGTGCAAAGAACACTAAGGACCAGTAACAGTGGATGTGCTACATTCCAAAGGATTAGGACAGGAGGAAATGGAATGACAGCACCACTTCATAGACATTGGAGAAAGGACCCAATGTGAACTTCTATAGTAAGTGACCTTTCCAAATACTTTGGCTGAATGAGTTGTTCATGCGATGAGTGAGATGAGCAATTTCTGTGTGACCATGAAAATATATTTTAAAAAACAACTTCAAATCATTCATATAAATTTTATGAATAGGTAGACTGGAGCCAGTCAGTTCTAGAATTCAATTCTCTAAGATTGGAGCACATGAAAGCCACACAGTAGTGTCTTACTGAAATAACACTTCTTTTCATAGTCTGGTCTGAAGAAAGTAACTGATGTTTGGCAGTGTGTAGTATGTTACAATGGTGGACCCAACTCTTCAACATTTTCTATAATCCAGTCTACTGTTATTTTCCTACAAATTTAGAAAAAGAAGACACCAAGTTAAAAAAGGGATCAAGAGTTCTCTACTCCTTCCTTTCCTCCCTTAAGAATATTAGAAGCCACCTTTCACTTTGGAAGCAGGTGACTAAAACTGTCTTTTCTGGAGACCAACAAGAATAAAGATAAATTTATTTGGAACCATGTTGTTTATAGTTAAATGATTGCTTAGATAAACAACATATCATGTTTACCCTAGGGGCATGTTTATAGTTGAAAAATTCTATTCTGGCCCTTAGAGTAGTAGTGCTACTCCTTACCAGTTGTAGTGCACTACAACTTGCTCAATATGAACAATTGTTCAATATGAAATTGTTCAATATGAATGATTTCCAAGGGAACCAGATTCCTGAGGAAAGCTTCAAATGTGGATGGGATCCCAAGACTTCCAGGAAAGAAGCACAAAATTAGAGATTAATGTTTGAAATTGTGAAAACAACCTGCTAGATTCCTAGTGTCACAGACACTAGAAGAAAGATTAGTTAAGAACTGTACCTCAAACAATTTTACCTTTCATGTTCATCTCTTCAGAACCTACTAGGGGATGGGTCCTACCAAATAATGCACAGGAAAGACTCTGGAGAAATGGAAATGGATGATAAAACACCAATGAAAGGAGGCAGAAAATTTCCCCAGGGCAGCAGTATAATCGGATCACTGGACCATACCTGGCCTTTGGGCAGATCATAGAAAGTGCATTGATTAGAAACAGAAGAGGAGATGCATACAGTATGTAGCACAACACACGGCGTAATAGTGTTATGTGTACAGAACACTGAGACAGCACATAGGACAATGATTATCTGTTAGGTGGATAAAACAGTAAGGAAAAGTGATCCATTCAGTCTGAGGCAAAATGTGACTAATGATTACAGCCATAGCAATCTCAACTCTGAACATCAACCTAAGGAAGATGACTAACTTTGAATGTGATACTCCCCTATCACATTTTTGCCCTTTGTCATCACATACTTTCTAAGCTAGAACATCCAAAACTATTTGTAAATCATGCTATAAACACTGATGATGGAATTTGTTGTGTTTTCCTTGATCAGTCATGGGACTTGAACTCAAGGCCTGAGCACTGTCCCTGAGCTTTTTGTGCTCAAAGCTCACACTTTGGTTAATTAAAGAAAAGAGTCTTATGAATGTTCCTTCCTGGGCTGGCTGCAAACCTAAATCCTCAGATTTCAGCCACCTGAGTAGTTAAGATTACAGGGATAAGCCACTGGCGCCCAACCTGGGATTTGTTTGTAATATTCAGATTGAAAATCACTACCTTTCTAAAGGAAAAATAAAAATAATAAGTTTTTTAGTAGTTTAACATTTAAAATTTATCCTTACTTATCTTCAAAATTGCCAAGAGATCCTTCCAAGGAGGAGGTATGTGCAGTCCATAGGTATCTCAAGATATCATCAAAGTTAGTGGAAGGTGACTTCAGATACTAAAGTATGGAAAAGAAATCATGATTTGAAAAAAGTTCAAGACAATTGAAGTATTTCTCAATTGAGAAATGTACTGCATAAAATTAGTTTGAGTTTCTAAGAATTAATATGTAGAAGACTTTAGTGCCAAACATCTTGTAGAGAGAATATAATATATATGAATATATATTAATTTTAGTAAAGCACATTTATCCAGAAAACAAGAACTTCATTTTCAAAAAGCCCATAGGTTTATACTGTCTAGAAGTATTTGTGTTCTATTCTCCCACAAACATAATTAAAATTATCATAACAGTAAGAAGGAAAATTTTTGTTTCAATATTTAATTACCTTTACCGCAATCAATTGAAAATTAAATAGATAAATACATCTTTTCATCACTGATTTTAGTCCTTTCCTGTATTTAACCTAGGTATGCTTTGTCATTTATTTATTTGGTGGTACTAGGTTTGAACTTGATGTCCTGCTAACTACTCAGAAACTCTAATACTTGAGGCATGCCTTCACACGTTTTCAATTTTAGTTATTGTTCAGGGAGAGTCTCATGTTTTTGCTTCAGCTAACCTCAGACTACAATCCTGACCTATAGCTTCTCCCTATAGCTGGACTCATAGTTCCATGTCACCATGCCTGGCTCACTGATTGAGGTGGGATGGTACTAATGTTTTGGTGGGCCTTGATCCCCAATCCTCCTGATCTCTGTTTCCCAAGTAGTTAGGATTGCAGACATGATTCATTATGCCTAGCTTTTCACTGAATATTTATGACAAAAAACCATCCATTTGTTTAGTTCTTCCCATATATGATTATTTATTAATTTTCATTGAAATAAATTGGTTCCTCTAAAACCAACTCTGCCATTGCATTTCTCCTAAGATCTCACAGCTTACCTACACTTACTATTAACCATTCTAGCTTATCTATCCTATAGTTTAAAACAAATCTAATATCCTCAATTTGGGAGCTATACATCATTGGAATTGAGAAGAATGGATACATTTTATATTAATGCTGTGATTGAGTTGTAATTATCAATGACATGCATTGTACTACTGTGCTACTTAGCCTCAATATATGTAGTACAACAATTCACATTTTCATAATAAGGAAAATGTTTTTGTACATTACCCCTAAAACAGACTTAAACAATAATTGCAACGTAACTACAGGAATCTCTTGACATGATAATAGTCAATGGCAATACTTAAAGAAGCAACCTGATAAAAAGCATTCCATTGGTTCATCATCTCAGTGTGGGATGAACGACAGCCAGAAACATTGTAACAAAACCTCTGCTGATCCTTGGGTGGTGGCAGTAGTGTGACTTGATCGGGTGATATCCCCATGATGCCAGAATCAACCGCAGAAAGGAAAGGTATTGCACACAGAAAATAATTTATATCTGTAACAACAAACAAACATCAAGAGAATTTTGGTTTGCATGTGTTCAGTTTCCAGGGATTGAGATCAGGGCCTCACACTGTTAACTCTTTTTTTTTTTTTTTTCATTCCTGGCTGATGTTTTACCATTTGATCTATACCTGCAGTCCAAAGTTTGAGCTTGTTGTTTAGGGATGGAGTCTCAGAGATTTTCTACTTAGTCTGTCTTTAAACTCTTGAAACTCAGGTCCTCTGGACTCAGCTTCATAACATGTTAGACTTAAAGGCATAAGCCACTGGTACCTACGTCAAAAACATGTTTGTAATGAGGCCATAGGGCATTAACAGTTGGTGGGATTGTGAACTGGTTCAACTTCTCTGGAAAGCAGTATGGGTGTTCCTCAAAAGATTAAACATAGAGCTCTGCTATGATCCAGTAGTCCCAGTCCTGGGCATTTATCCAAACGATCACAAACAAGGCCACATAGAAGCTGCGAGCACAACTAGGTTTATTGTAGCATCATTTATCATAGCTAACATATTTAACCAACTCAGATCTCTCTTAGTAGATTAAAGGATCAAGAAAATGTGGTATAAATATGCAATGGAATTTTATGTTTCCATCAGAAAGAATGACATCACCCTGAACATAAGGAAATGGAAAGACTTGGAAAAAATTATATTTAATGAAGTAAGACAGACCTAAAGAAACATAAGCTCCATGGTTTCCCTCATTTGTAATAATTAGAATAGGTCTAGGATAGCCCTAGCAGAGGATCACAATAGCTCAATGGCTATGCACAGACAATGATGCTAATGGAAATAAACTCCAAGATATGGGAACACAAGGTTTAAGAGTTTTTTGTTTTGGTTTGTTTTTAATGTATTGCGTGAAGTTACTTCTGTGCTCCTTTTTTTTCCTTTTTTTTATCCCCTATTGCCAGTTTTTTATTTTGGTACCCTGTTTATTGTATATATGTTTATCTGATTTGAGGAAGGAAAGGGGAATAATAAAATGGTGAGACAAAGGACCAAGGTTGAACCGATGCAACAGTGATACGCAAAGACAGTAAGTTGGACACGAACTTTACAACTTACAGGGCAGGGAAGTCTGGAGGAAGGAAAGTGGGAGAAAACAAGGGAGGGGTAACAATGTTCAACAAGCAATGTACTCATTAACTTATTTATGTAACTGTAAACCTTCTGTACACCACCCCTACAATAAAATAAAATAAAACGAATACAGATTCAGAAGCAGGAGATAAAAATTGGGGACCAAACTCAAAAATATTATATAAAAAACCCTAAAGACCATGCATATGAATTCAATGTACTTCTGTTAGTAATACTATAATCATGAATATATACCAGTTCAAGAAATGTACCAATCAAAATACAGTAGACTTAAAGAAGAACTCAAATAGTATAATTCCTTAGGAAGGCAAAATCAAAGTTTAGTAAAAATAAAACACCAGGAAATGGGTACCCCAAGGGGGTAGGGTGGGGTTGGGTCAAGGGAAAGAGGAGAAGAAGTGGAGACTTCAGTAAAGAATTCAATGCATATTCTACAAAATTAAGAAGAGTTAGGGAAGGAGGGAATAAGGGAGACATGATCAAGATGCATTTTACTCATAAATTGTTTTGTTAAATGGCAATTCCTTTGTACAGCTACTTAATAGATAAGATTAAAAACAAAAGAACAGCTAGGTACTGGTGGCTCATACCTGTAATCCTAGCTACTCCAGAGGCTGAGATCTGAGGATCCTGAGACTCTTATCTGAAATTAACCACCAGAAAACTGCGAATGGAGCTATGGCTCAAAGTGTTAGAGCACTAGCCTTGAACAAAAGAAGGTCAAGTATAGTGCTAAAGGCTTGAGTCCAAGCCCCGTGACTGATTAAAAAATGAACAAATAATTTGCTCTATAGCTTTTTAAAAAAGGAATGTGAAAATGAAAAATATTTTAATAGACTTAGTAACACTCGTTTTTCAAATATTAAATAAAACAGGAAGAAAACTATCAAATTGAAGTGGATATATCTCTCACCAAGATTATATTGTGAATTATAATTTTTCTAAAGTACTCTAATATGATTGTAGATTTTGCAAATGGATATTTTTTTCTCTTAGAGAAGTATCTTTAATTTGAAGACATATTAAGTGTCTGGTTTTAGCCCTTGTTTTAACCAAAGTCTCCAAATCAAACTATTCCTGAGTTCTAGCAGTAGATAATAAAATCAATAAATAATGAGAATAACAATCACATAAGCTAAAAGTTTTTCCCTCAATGGCTTTATTACAGCAGAGTTAAGCATTCTAATTCATACTGATGCCCACTAGAAATCAGTGGTGTACTATAACCATGTATTTTTTTCATATGTCTCAGCATAGCAGGATGATATACTGAACTACTAAGCTAATGGGGAAGGGAAATGAAATTTAAATTTTATATCTGTGACAAGCCTATTCTTGAACTTTTGAGAAGAGTGTGTAAAGTAGTAAGAGAAATATATTTGGAGATACATATCACATGTGATTCCCTGAGAAAGTGAAAATTAACTTTATCTTGTGTCTTATAATTAGGAAATAATCTCTAAGAAGCAGATATATATAAATACATATATACATTAGTTTTGCCAAACACACAAAATTAGAGAATTAGAAATTCCTTCCAATGCATTTTAGCACTTTTTTTATGTGACTGAAGCCTTAAATTACATGATGATAAAATAAAGTGTGAAAACTATTCATCTGATTCATTTACCCATTTGACCAAGAAAAACTAAAGCACTGATTTCTTGACTTTCACTTCTTAGCTTCCTCAGTTCAAAAGACTCCATACCACACTTTGGGGACCTGCCTGCTAAGTGTCACTGTTGATCTCTCAGAGGTCATAACCTTCTTCCGTTTTGTGGTTCAGTTCTTCTGTAAAATGCTGGATGTGTCCTAAAAATGACTGTAGTTGATATCTTTTATAATGTGACAGAGTCTACCACATACATCGTGAATTTGATTCATTTTTATAGGAGAATTGTGAGTTAGGGAAAAGGTAATCAAGATTTTTGCAAAGTAAACCTACCAGTCCACCAACTGTCTGCAGAGATACACAGATTATCTTCTGATTCATAACCACAGTTAGTCTTTCTGGTAGGATCAGCTGATCTGCCTAGAGAACAAAGAATGCAGAGATTAGTAGTAGTTGAGTATCTCTAATGCCAATAATTCAGATCTAACATTGATTTATGCTTGATAATTATGCCTAATTTTGTACTGAAGTTTCTACTAGAAATAGACAAACAAAAAAGAACTTGTGAGAAAAGGAAAGTAGAGAAATATAATTATTCCAATGAGAAAATAAAGCAATTTTCAAAAACATGGGTGTGGCATACAGAGTTCCACTTTTCATAGATCAAGAGAAGGAAAACGAGGTTTCTCACCTGATCTGAATTGCCAGCCAAGTTGCAAAGGCAGTCCCCATAAGACATTTTGCTCATTTTCTGGAGCAAATTTTGCAAAATATGTGGCTGTCTGGCTCAGCAGAATTTTATACATCCCCATTCTGCTAGTGTAGACCCAGGGATCAATAATGTATTTTCCATTCTCCACCTTGTAGTCACTGAACTGGCCAGGACTCTCCTCCCATAGAGGGGGATAGAAACTTGAAAGGTTAGGAGCTCCTACTACAGAGGTAGAAAGATAACCCACTAATACCAATGCCCAGCAAGGAATGAAAGCCATGGTGCTAATGTTGGGGAACTGTGATTGGGTTGAGCTTTTATTGGAGAAGGAAGGAGGAAGTAGCAATATTTTCCTACCCCCACCTCTTGTTACTACTTTGCATTCTTCTTTTTTTTTTTTTTTTGCAGAGGGTGGAGGTGTTGATAACTTTGATACATTTGTTAGCATTCACTACAATTAAGTTATTTTTGCCAGCTGTGGAGAATTCACAAATTATGCTCAAACCTAAATACAAAATGAGGCTGTACTCTATGAAAGATTTGTCAACAAAAAAAATTTCAAAAATTATCCAACCCATACTGTGGTTATAAAATAGATCATCAGGGGCATTAGAATACTTGCCCTCATTTTAAAAAAACATATCTCATAGAAAATGGGAATACTAACATTTGTAATCATAGGCAAGCAAGATATGCTATAAAAATAAGATTGATTTTGTTATAAAGCAAATTTCTGTTTCAAGAAAGAAACCTATTTACTACGTAGAGTTGCAAAAACAAGAGTATCCTTAACATCAAAAAAGAGAAAGAAAAGAAAGAAACTTTATCAGTTATTACCAGTTCATTAAAGAAAGAAGCTTGAAGTATATCCAATTATCTCAGTTCCATAGACAAAACCAGTAGCTTAGAAATAATGAGTTTGTTGGACAGATACTGCTAATAAATTCCCAATATCTATTCTTTTAACTTCATTTAACCAGCACACACACACACACTCACACACACACACACACACACACAAATCCAGAAGTGGAGCTGTGGCTCAAAGTAGTAGAGCCTTGAGGGAAAAAGCTCAGGGACAGCATATAGGCCCTGAGTTCAAGCTCCACGACCAACAAAAAAAAACACAAAACATTGCCCAAGTACATATATTTTCCTTTAATTAAGGCTGTAAATACACCTATAACCTTAGCTACTCAGGATTGAGCTGAGGATCATAGTATGAAGTCAGAAAGAATGTCTGTGAGACTCTTATCTACAATGAACTACCAAATATCAGGAAGTGGTGCTCAAGTGGTAGAGCGCTAGCACTAAGCACAAAAGCCAGGGTACAGTGCCTAGATCTTGAGTTCAATTCCCAGGACTGGTACCATCAGAAAAGTTTTGTTTGTAGATGTTATGCTGGTACTTGGAAAGGATGAGAAAATAAATTGAAAAAGTAAAAAAGAGAACTTATGTTTAGTTATATGTCAGGTTTTATATTGACACAATATTATCAGAAGTAAATTGAGAAATTTGAAAAGCAAGAATCACTGATATTAGCAATCATTTTTAACTTAAATAATCAGAATTTGTACCTTATAGTGGAGTACCATCTAATGTATATTGTATTGTGTATAAAACAGGCTAAGGAAATCTAGCTCCTCAAGTGTCCACCATTTTCTCATGATGAAAATACTGAAAATTCTTTCTTTGACCTCTTTGATAAGATAAGAACTAATTGCACCCTATTGCTGCCCTAAGTTCAATGCCATACCAGAGCTTCTTACCCTACCTGTGATTTAGTACCAGTTGATCATCCCTCTCTCCCAATAAACCGCCCCAGGCTCTGATAACCATCACTCTAATCTTATCTTTAGTGCTATCAGCTTTTCTAGTAAAAGTTTTGTTAGCATAAATTAATTCTAAAAATGGCTTCGTCGTAAAACTTACAATATCCATTAAAGGACTGAGCTCTACCCTATTATACCAAGTGCATAAAGATGCCAGGAGAAACCCCAGATATGTGCAGACATGCTTAATGTGCAGGTAGGGCAATCCTACCTAAACCTGCCTGTAAATATTCCATCCTGGGCCTAGCCTGTAAGGCTCTGAGCCTGAGCCTGAGCCTGAGCTATGAGCTATGAGCTATGAGGCCTGGAATGGGTTAAGAGGTTAAAAGACTGAGAACTGGACCCTTTGAAGGTCAAACAATCTAGGCAAGACAAATGTAAGCTGTTTAAACATTAGATAGCTTGAGACCTTGTATAAGGGAATATTCTCCCTATTCTCTTCCACACCTGCAATAACTCCCCTATACTAAACCAAAGTCACCTCTGTTTCCTTGCCAAGACCCTATGAAAGTGTTGACGCCAACACCTCCCTGGCCCCATATCCAAACCCGCAGGAATGCTGGGACTCTCGTTGTTCCTCATAAATAGTCCTCTCCTGTTGAAGACTGAGTCCCTCCTCTTTCCTTCCTTTCTCCTCCATTTCTCTATTATCCATGTCATGAATTTTTATCAAATTCACCTCTTCTACATTGTTTTCCTAACCCCATTTCTCCTTCCCTCATATTTTAACATTTTAGTGGCATTAATGTTATATATGTATATAATGTAAATATATTACATAACTATGCTATATAGATATGTTATATATTATGTATAGTACTGTAATATTCAGCTCCAACTCCATCACCCATACCTTTCCTCTTTCCTCTCCTCCCCCACCACTGATATCAAATATTTTTTAGTCCATATATGAATGAGATCAGACAACACTTGTCTTAACCAAACACTTGTTTTACTTAACCAGAGGATTTCTAGTTCCACCATGTTACCACACTGATATTTCACTCTTTTTATGGCAAATAATAGTTCAATGCTTTTATGTACCAACTTGTCTATAATCATTCATCAGGTGATGAGCACATACTTTCATTTCATGGATGTTTTGAGTGTATTGTGACTAGTGCATTTGTCACATTAACAGACTGATTTTATTCCTTTAGATATATAGTAATGAATCATCAGATAACATGGAAGTTCTATTTATGACAGATTTTTGAGGAACCACTGTACTGTTTCCCATAATAGCTTCCCTAATTTGCATTCCAAAAAACACTATGCAAAGATTTCCTTTTCTGCACATTTTTCCTGTACTTTTGTCTATGTCTACTGTCATTTTGTTAATAAGTAATCTTAGGGTGAGTAGATATTTCAATGCCATTTGGTTTTTATTTAAATCATGATCAGTAATGTTGAAATTTACCTGGTATCATTTCAGTGACTCCTTTGTGACAATTCTGTATCCCACCTTACTTGAGTTACTGGCTGCATTTGCTATTGATTTTTAGATGTGATCCAATATTTCCATATCAACCCTTTATCAGATGTACAGTGAACAAATTTTCTCTCCCATCTCATAGGTTTCTTCTTTACTCACTGTTTGTTTCCAGTGCTGTATAGAGCTTTTTAGTTTAATGAAATCATATGTGTAAATTTTTGCTTTTGTTTCCTTTGCAGTCCTGTGCCTTCTCAGTTCCAATATATGGAGGTATTTCTCCAATGTTACACATAAATTTACCTAATCTTTCTCCCTATACCAGACTGAAGACAACACAAATATATTTTCAAGTTTAGCATATGTATAGCATAATCATGTATAGCATAATCCATTATAGCATAAATTATGTATAGCATAATCACCATATCTCACCCATCAATGAACTGCTTCAGACTAACAGTCAGTGCCAGAAACCTTTATTTTCCTATTTTATTTCTAGTAGAATTGAGGTTTATACTCAAGATCTTGCTATTGATAGACAATCACTCTTCCCTTTTTTCCTTAATTGACCTTTACTTGTGGATTTTGCCTTGGCCAATCTTGACTGCAATCCTCCTACCTATACCTGCAATGTAACTGATACCACAGTGTGAACAAACACTCCCAGCTTGACTCAGTTAACACCTTTTAAAGAATTAATAGATCATACAAGTAAGAAAAATATTTAATAGATAATGCCTTGACTGATTTTTCAAGTGATATCAGCAACTTATTTGTAACTGTAAATCTGTCAGCATTGAAATTAAAAATATTCTGACTATACTGGAAATATACTGGAATATACTGGAAATTGAAATTCTGCTCAAGATGTTAACTCTTCTTAGCTCAGGAACTCCCTTTATTAAAATACAGAAAAAAAAATATAGGGAAAACCATGGCAAAAGTAATCTACAAATAAAACATCAACTGCCCAGTTGAGTTATGCTTTTTAACCAGTACTTTGGACAATGGCAGTAATGATAGTTTCTGTGGGTAAAAGAGGTAAGGATATATTAAGAGCAAATATACTAGACACATATTAAGTGAAAGGCTCACTAACTGTGCATTCTGTGTCATATTACAAACTTTTACCAGAAAGTCATTTCTGAGATTGAATATGAGCACCAAACTCAAAAAGTGCTTATTAGTTCTAAGGAGAAAAGGAGAAGAAAAGCTTTGAGAATCAGGAAAGAGGTCTCAGGAAAGCTAAAAAGCACCAAGAGGCAGAAAACCAACTCAAAGAAAGTATGAAGCAATCTGAAAGTCCAGTGGTTGCACAGAGGAGTCTTTGATTTTAAATATGATGTAATTTTGGAATATGTCAATTGTTTCTACAAAAGACTCTCATGATTCTCACAAGTTTTACATTCCTTAATCTGAAAGTTTCATTTCTTGCTAGGAAAGGGAAACAACTTTGTGAATACAACTTTGTAAAATTCTTTTACAAAAAATTTTAAAATTGACTGTTAGAAGCCTTAAATTCATAATCCAGTACAATAACTCAATTTTTCTAATTCAGCAAAACCCTGTAATAAGAACTAGAAAGATCATTTATTTTATATCCAGTTAACCTGGGAGTGCATATACCGCAGTTTTTTAGAAAAAGATTGCTCTTATATCTACAATTACTTCCAGGAGAAGATTTCATATATAAATATGTTATATACATAATGTTATATTAATACATATAAAATGTTGTTATGCTTTTGCTTTAATACCCAAGCCCTCTAGTTTTGCATCTAAGAGAGCAATAGGAATATCAAACCTAATATCAAATCTTCCCAGTTTAAATTTCCCCATTTATATATACATGTGAAAGACATACCAAAATTATGAAATACATATAGAGTTGAAAGAGCAAATGTCAATTGCTCCCTCAAACACTTCCTCCTTTCTTGAATAACTGTGTCATATTTTATCAGAGGCTCCATTTTTTTTGAATATTTTGACTTTCTTATGGGAACTGATAGAATT